AAAAAAAAAAGAAAAGAAACCTGTACTTGTACTTCCTAAATATATATATATATATATATAGAGAGAGAGAGAGAGAGAGAGAGTATTTGTGTTTAAAACAGATTCTGATTTCACAGGTCTGGGGTGGGCCCAAGTGTATGCATTTCTGTTGAACTTGACTTTATCCTGCCTGTCGCATGGTATCACTTGATTAATGCCATCTTTTGAGCCAATGTCATACTTAAAATGGATATACATTTTTTTGGTACCCCTGGTATATTTGTAGTAGACCCAGGGTAAGAGCTGACAGCCCATATTCAGGCAGGAAGACTGAGGCAAAGAGGGCAGTTGCAGAGAGGGAGAGTCAGACTCTGTAAGTGTATGTGGAAACTGCTGGCCCACAGAGCACACTATGAGTAACAAGGCTTTTTGTGTAGAAGACACAAGGCATCTGGCAGGAAGAACCAAAATGGAGGAGGCCATGGAAGTCATGGCTGAACCTCAGTCCACACTCTTGGTGGAGTAAGGTCTCCTCCATTGAGGACTAGAGACAGTTGGACTCTCAGGTGGTCCTGAGCCTGAGCCTGAGCCCCCACTCCCCGTCACAGGGACAGGCTGGACTCTCATGTGAATCTTTTTTTTTTGAGTTGGAGTCTCACTCTGTCACCCAGGCTGGAGTGCCGTGGCACACTCATGGCCACCGCAGTATCAACCTACTGGGCTCCTGCAATCCTTCCACCTCAGCCTTTCAAGTAGCTGGAACTATAGGCGTGTGCTACCACACCTGGCTAATTTTTGATTTATTGTAGAGACGAGGTCTCACCAAGTTGCCCAGGTGGGTCTCGAACCTGCGGGCTCAGGCAATTCACTCACCTCGGCCTCCCAAAGTGCTGAGATTACAGGCAGAGCCACTGAGCCCAGCCTACTTAGAGTTTAATTAAATTTATGGTCAGAGTAAAACCTCATCAAGGAATCACAGATTTCTTCAAGTGTTAGTAATACTTTCTTTGTGAAAAATTTTCCAATCCATTCTTTTTTTCCAACCAGATTCTTAGAAAAGGCTTTTAACCACGTTATTCCTTACACACTCCATTTTGGTTCTTCCTGCCTGATGCCTTGTGTCTTCTGCACAAAAAGCCGTGAAAAGTCCCATCAGTCCTCTCCTACCGGATGGGGACACCTCCCCCTAGGCAGTGAAGGGATGAGCATGACACAGTCGCCCAGGACATGACTTAGAAGTCATGGACTGGGAGTCTTGGGACCTGAGTGCTGAGAGGGGACATGCTTGGGAAGATCTGCTCCCATCAGGCCCCGCTCTTCTGCAGTCTGAAACATTACTCCCAGGCGGCCCCAAGGTGTTTGAACCCGGAAAGCTAAGGATCCATGATGACAAAGACAAACCCTGCCTAGGAGAGCCTGGCCCCAAGGGACACGCTGCCCACTCTAAGTCTGATCGTGGTCACTGTTGCCACAGTGCTGACTACAGCACAGGGGGCTGAGGAGCGCAGGGAAGACAGATAGGAAAGGCTAGGGTTGACTGACTTGGACTTCGTGTGCAAACAGTAAAGGGAGCTCTCAGCTCAGCCCCTGCGTGCTCTGGCTTGGGCCCACTTGCTCTTTCCTGCTGAGGCTAGGTTTGGGAAGGATGCACACTGCACCCAGCCAAACCCTACCCTACCATTTACCTATTTGCTCATTTAAACCAAGTGACTTCATTTCCTTATGCCTCTATTTCATCTGTAAAATGGGGATACCACCCCTACTTTGAGGGGTTGTTGCAAGAATGAAATGAGGTGAAACAGATGCCCTTGTGTCTACAGGAATGATGTATCAGAGAGGGGGTAGTCTGAGCAAGGTGCAGCAGAGCCCTCTCTCGGGTCACACAAGGGGGGGAAAGGGGTACAACGCACCTCGTCGAAAGCCTTGTTCTTGCCCCGGTTGATCCCTTCGTTAAGGGCTTTGATCCAAGATTCCTTCTCCTCTCCACTGGGTGCCTGGAATTTGATGTCGCTGACCTGTGAGTGAGATGGGTGGCAGATATTTTAACAAAGCTCACACTTGGCATCTTAAGGAGGTTTCCCACCTCAGACCCCAAAGTCACAGCACGATGACCCTCACAATAGGTCTGACACTGAGGCCTCAGAGCAAGGAAAGAGAAAGAGCAAGCAGAGAATGGGCCCTCCCCCAGCATGCAGCTCCCAGAGGTGTGGATTAGAGTCAGCCTTGTCCTTGGCCGGGCTTGGTGGCTCACACCTGCAATCCCAGCACTTTGGGAGGGTGAGGTGAGAGGACTGCCTGAGCCCGGGGGTTCAAGACTAGCCTGGGCAACTTGGAGAGACCTCATCTCTACAATAAATCAAAAATTAGAGCCGGGCTCAGTGGTTCAGCCTGTAATACCGCGCCTTTGGGAGGCTGAGGTGAGTGGATTGCCTGAGCCCGTGGGTTCGAGACCCGCCTGAGACCCATTTGGTGAGACCTCATCTCTACAATAAATCAAAAAATTAGCCGGGCGTGGTAGCGCACACCTGTAGTTCCAGCTACTTGGAAGGCTGAGGCAGAA